AAGAACTGGATGAAATGAAAATGTTCAGAAGGGTGTTGGGCCAAGGAATCCTTTTGGTATCCATCTCCAATAGGCTTCTCAGGAACAGAAAGAGTCAGGCCCAGCCATAAAGACTTCATTCACTACACTTTGGCAGGATTGCGATTGGCTAGGGGATATCATATTTCACTGCACTGGCTTTAACAGGATAAGATGTTGGCTAATATGATAACACCGTGAGATGAGATTTAGATGATCTGAGGGGCTTGGGGCGGGGAAATAAAATCAGTCACTGAAGTGATAGTCTAATGACATAAGAATGGGACCAGCTGCCAGGGTGCAAATACCTTCCCTACAGTAGTGGACTTAGAAATTCCACCCTGTTCTCTGTCAACTTCTAGAGGTTTTTCTGAAATTAAATGTACTATGTTATGAATCTTACTAAACCCAGCTCATCTCTTTGGAACAGGTGAAGGGGATAGAAATTGATTTCACAGCTGGAAGGAAAAGACAGGTAAGGTTACTGGGAAGCAGTTAGGCAATTCGAGGGTATCACCTATTCATACCACAGGCAAATTGGTAAGACAGAGGTAGATCTGAGTTTGAATCACAACTCACCCACCTTCTGGCTGGGTAACCTTTAACAAGTTTCTTCACTTCTCTGAACCTAGGTTTCCTCACATGTATAGAGTTCAAATGTTCTAATAACTTAAGAGCTATCACCCACGTAATTAGCGGACACCTGTTTGTTTTAAGAATACAGCATTTATTTCTCAAAGTCCCACGTGCACTCACAAAAGAGGCTCAAACGCAAACTGCCCTGTTCCCATATCTACTGCCTGCCGAGCATCTTAGAGACGCTTTACAGCTGTTGTTAACCACAATGAGAAGACAACACCAATGCCAAGTGTGGTAATCAGCCCCCGAGATGATTTAAAGTTTTCAGGTAATTTATTATGCATTAATAGACAACTAATACATATTTTGTTATGAAGAGTGAGGTGCTTCCATAACAAAAACCTAAAATATTGGCATGGCTTTGGAACTGGGCAGTGGGAGAAGCTGAAAAGACTTGGAGGAGACTGTTAGTGAAAGCCTGAAGAGTCTTGAAGAAATTGTTAGTAGCATCCTGATGGATTTAAGAAGCCTGTAGATGAAGGCTTAAGGGGAAATCAGGAAAATGTTATAGAGAACTGGAGGAAAAGGGTTCTTGCTGTGTAGCGGCAGGAAGTTTAGCAACACTGTCACCTGCAGTAATGCAGAAAGCAGAAAATGTGCCTAATTAATTGAGTGTTCTGGCCAAGCACATTTCCAGGTAGAGTGTTGAAGGTGCTGGATGATGTCTTCTTCCTGATTATAGCAAAATGTGAGAAGAAAGAGATAATCTAAAGAAGGACTTAAAAAAAAAAAAAAAGGAAAAGGAGCCAGAACTTGCTAGATTTGAAAATCCCCATCTTCTCCAGATGACAAATAATGATATAATGAAGAAATGACTTCTGGTCAAAAATAAACTCTAGGACACTGCAAGGAAAACATCATCAAATTATGAAGCTGAAAGTAGCTGCAAAACCCTTTGTTCAGATCTCAAACAGATCTACAGCAGTGATTCGGAGAATCATTCAGACAAACAACGGGCCTTCAAAAAAGCCTATGTGTTGTGCCTCAGTAGTTTCAGGGGAGGGACTCTCCAGAGTAGAGAAGGGCTTATCTTGAAGAGATTTGTGCATATGACTTTTGTCCAATGGAGTGGAGCCCCAGTTACATTAACAAAATTTTAAAAAGAATTATATTGGCAGAAACACTGCCAGGATGGACTCAACAAGACAGAGACAGAACAAAATGAAGAAGGGCCTTTGGCCCCCTAAATTCTACTGGCAGGAAGCAGACTGACAAATTACACAGCTGCAAACATAGGCTGCTTCTGATGGAAAAGGAAGGATAGACTCAGAGAGTGGCATCAAGAGCCCACAGGGTGAAGTCAAAAGCCATGGAGAGTCATTCCCCGGCAAAAGTAGGACTGAGCCCTAATCAAGGAACCTCTAACATAGTCCAACTGGATTTCAGGATTGTTATGGACCAGTGACTCCTCTGTGCCTCCTGTCTTTTCTCCTTTTTGAACACGAGTGTCTGTACCAGTTATCATAAGCCTGTCTCACCATTGTATGTTGGGAGTGTGGAGGAACATGGGTATTCAGATGAAGGGGAACTATACTTGAGGAACTGCACTTAAGACATTATACCTAGGAGCCTTATCCACACTTGGATCTGATTTAGATGATAAGATTCTGGACTTTGAGCTGATGATGTAATGGATTGAGCCTTTTGGGGGACCTTGGCAGGAAGTGAACTTATTTTCTATTTGAGAGAGTGGGCCAAAGGTTACAATATGGTAGCCAGCTTCAAAGATGGCCCCAAAGATCCCTACCTCTTGATATTCATGCCCTTGTCTAGTCCCCTCCTACACTGAATACGACTGATCTCTGTAACTAATAGGCTATGTCAGAAATGGTGATGTGTAACTTCTGAGCTTAGGGTCATAAAAGACATTGCATCTTCCACTTTGCCCTCTTGGATCACTTCATTTGGGAGACTTTAACTGCCATGTCATGAAAATACTCAAGCAGCCCAACAGAAAGTGGTGAGGCTTCCTGCCAACAGCCATGTGAGTGAGCCATTTGGAAGCAAATCCTATGTTTCTAGTCAAGCCTTCAAGTGACTATAGCCCCAGCCACTGAAATCTCTTGAGAGACTCTGATTCAAACCACCCAGCTAAGTCACTCCCATATTCCTGGCTCACAGAAATTGTGAGATAATAAATGTTTATTGCTTTAGGCTGCTATGTTTTGTGGTAATTTTCTATGCAATAATAGATAGATTAATATAACAAGGTTTCTATCTCTGGATGCTCCGAAAGTTTGCAATTCCTGGGGAATCAGACCGTTCCAATTTCTGTGCAGAGGGGTACAGAAAGTCCGTCTCATTGAACCTGCCTCTCCTCATCACCAGAACTTTATGAAGTTCCTTTTTAACAGTTCCATCAACTTCTGACTCTAAGACCCTCTCACCATAGAGGGCTCAAAGAAAGATTGTGAAATCAGATACTGAGCTGCACAGTATGATATTTTAACTTCCGGTCAGATAAAATTAAGAACAAACAATAACAGCAATAATGACAACAAAAAGACACCCGTGCCTCCCCACCAAAGACCCTGGACCCAAAAATATTCTTTTAGGACATTAAAAAATTGTTTTCATTGAAAAAAATATTTTCTAAATGTGATAACATTATGTTTGTAAAGGCTAAGTTATTTCCTTTTAAGCCCAGGGAGGTAGAAATAACTAAGCCTGAAACAATATTCACTAGGTGTACTAACGTTGATGTTTGAGTTGACATTTGTTGACTATTTTTTTAAGAATGGTACATCAATCCCTGTTTCTGATTCAGACACAGAAATAACTTCTGGAGAAATGAACTGGAGAAAAATAGAAATATATATGGAATTGGAACAAAACAAACTTTCTCATTTTTTTCCCCAGAATTCTATAGAATTGTTCTGAGGTTAAAAAAAAATGTTTCTAAAAATCAAATCTCTGACAAAAGCTGCACAGAGATTAAGCATACATTATATGTGGAGACATTAAAAATTATTTTAAGTGATTTTTACCCCATCTCATCCTCCAGTACTTTTGTGAAGATCATCTGGGAATCCTAGCTCAACATTATCTAAGAGAATCAATGGAAAACAGACACCATTCCATCCTCCTCTATTCTTCTCAGCCACACCTCAGCCTCTCCTCAGACTAGATCTAAACTTCCTTTTCCTCTCACAAATACAAAACAAAAGGTCACCAATGAATGGAGAGACCGATATGGGGTAGAGGTGGGGGGTTGCCTACACTACCAGCAGCCATCCAGAAATGCCCAGTTTGTTAAAGACTGTTTAAAACCTCCTTCAAAGGGTCGTTATGTGCACTAAATATAATTTGTGCCAATAATAATAAAAATGTAGTGAATACTTCTACAAAGCAGGTACCTTCACATTTCATCCACAAAATAGCCCCATGAGATAGGTGTCACCATTATTTCCATTTTACATAGTTTTTTTAAGTGGAAAACAAAGGATCAATTAACTTCTCCATTGTCACAAAGCCAATAAGTTGTAGTACCAGGATTTGGGGGCACTCACTGTGGATCTTCCAAAACCGGCTTTTAAAGAGCCACAAAAAGATCTAGCCCATTCTTGGCATTTTAGTATTGGTTAATAAATAACCGTCCCCTTCCTTTTTCTTGGAACCCAGTCTGAATCTAGACGGTCTCCTTACATAAAAGAAAATGACTGCACACTGGAACTCTCACTCGACAAACACTGTCACTAGACAAACACTGTCTCTCCCCCTACTTCACCTGACATCTCAGCCTAACCCAAGGCAAGCTCTCAGAAGAAGAAACAGAGGTTGCCCCGCTAGAGGTTCTGAGCCCCTAGGAGGCAGAAATGCAAATAGACAAAGCATAGCATTGCTTCGAATCGAAAATGTCTGTTTGCTCCACCTGAGTCGGACATTCCCTGAGCCCAAGAGGACAAACACAACCCTTCCCAGGGCCCTCTGGAAATCCCAAGCGGTCAGGTTCAGTCTGGTAAACAGCACTCCGTCCTGGCACCATGCAGAACACGCAGCGGCGCGGACAGGGGCAGGCGGGCGGCGACAAACTGGAAGGAGAGGGACTGAACTACACTGGTCCACCTGCCTAGCGGCCTTGAAGAGCTGGTCGACACCAGCAGGGAGGGAGTAGGGGAGGCGGGGCCCCGTTCCCGCCTGGGAGCGCGCGGGAGACCTCCCCCAGTCCCCCTCTTTCCCGGGACGCCGAGCCCCCGCGGGGAACGCAGAAAAGGGCCATTGCCACTTTAAATGACTCAGGAAGTGAAAGGAGGCCGCCTGCCAGGGAAGGGGAAAGTGGAACCGGGGCGGCGCGGGGGCCTGCGCCGCGAGCTCTCCCGCGCAGCAGCAGGCGCAGCAGGCACAGCCGGCAGCGCGGCGCGGGGGCCGACGGGCGTGCGAGCCGCCGCGCCGGAAGTGCCCGGGCCGCCGCCGGAAGTGCAGCGGGCGCCGAGCGGCCGAGCCGGCGGGAAGGCACTCTGCCGGTGGGAGCGGGTGGCAGCGGCGGCCTGCCGGGAGACACGGCGCGGCCCGCGCGGGCGGCCACTCCGCGGACCGGCCCCGGCTGGGGAAGAGGCTGTGAGAGGCCGCGCGCCGGCCGGGCGGCGAGCTCGGGTGCCCCGACGCCTGGGCCGCGTCCCTGCACCCACATGGCCTCCGGAGGGGGCGCGGCCTGCGAGGAGCTGCCGCACGACGGCACGTGTGACGAGTGCGAGCCCGACGAGGCGCCGGGGGCCGACGAGGTGTGCCGAGAATGCGGCTTCTGCTACTGCCGCCGCCACGCCGAGGCGCACGGGCAGAAGTTCCCCGGGCACCACCTGGCCGAGTACGTCCACGGCGCCGCCCAGGCCTGGACCTCGGGAGCCCGGGGGCAGGAGGAGGGGAAGGAGGACCTGGAGGCCAAGGCGGAGCACGAGAGGGACGTAGAAAGCGAGGTGGGGGGAGACAGCGAGTCAGAGGAAGAGAGTGAGACGGAGGAAGAGAGCGAGACGGAGGAAGAGAGCGAGGATGAGAGCGATGAGGAGAGTGAAGAAGACAGTGAGGAAGAAATGGAGGATGAGCAAGAGAGTGAAGCAGAGGAAGACAACCACGAAGAAGGAGAATCGGAAGCTGAGGGGGAAACTGAGGCAGAAAGCGAATTTGACCCGGAAATAGAGATGGAAGCAGAGAGAGTGGCCCAGAGGAAGTGTCCGGACCATGGGCTGGATCTGAGCACCTATTGCCAGGAAGACAAGCAGCTCATCTGTGTCCTGTGCCCAGTCATTGGGGCTCACCAGGGCCACCAACTCTCCACCCTAGATGAAGCCTTCGAAGAACTAAGAGTAAGTATTGGGCATTCAGAGCATTGGCCTAGAGGTCAGGACAGCTGGATTTCAACTCAGGTGGCCTGGTTGTGGCCACATTCACTTTCACCATGTCCCTAAAAATCTAGTCTCTTCAACTTGGGAGCAGTGCTTATTCATCCTTTTTCGTTGAACTCCTTTGAGAATCAGTTGAAAGTTCTGGACTCTGACCTGAGAAAAATATATGTACACACAAAATCTAGTGCACAGTTTCTGGAAAATTGCAAGCCTCTGGTCTCTGGATCCCAGGGAAGGCACTCCTTGGGAGTTTTGACTCCACTTAAGCCAGTTCCCACAGCATCACCATTGTTGAGACTAGCGCCTTGACTTGGGGCTCTTGATAAGGCATTCTCTTTGTCTGCTTGAAAACACAGGAAACCGTGGTTAGCCAGATGAATCCAAGTAGGTGGTTCATCTGTAGTGAAGACTCCCTCAGGTTGTGGTTTCAATAGTACTTCGTGTGTGTCCTGAGTTCCTTTTAGGTTCTTCATGTTTGATACTTGGTGGAGGATGAGAAGGTGGAGGCAGAATTGATATGGGAGTAGGGTTCCTGTGTCCTCCATCTTTTGCAAGACGGTAGGGCCTGTATGTGTTTTGAACCTTGTTGGTCCCCTAGAACAGTGTTTGGGAGGTAGTAGACATTAATAAATATTTGTTGAATGAATGAATTTGCAAATGATTTGGTTTTTATTTATATTGTAGATGTTTACAATCAATGAGAGAAACTGCTGGAGTTAACCAGAGAGGAAAGTTTGAGTGGGCTGATCAGTTCATTAAGTGGTCAGTTCATTAGTGAATGCTGTCGTCATGATGCCTTTTGTTTCCCTAAGGAACCTTGTAGTTGCTGGCACTGGGATAACAAATACTTATTGAAAATCCCCTGTATTAAGATTTTCACTTTTTCGTTGTAAAATACACAAAGTGTGTAAAAACACACAGTCTAACAAATAATTACAAAGCAAAGACTGATGTAACCTCCACTCAGATTAACAAATAGAATATTAGTAGCAATATTGAACCCCCTGGCCCTTTTCCAGTTATAACTATTTCCTTTCCCCATAGGTAACTATTACCTGACTTTTGTGGTGGTAGTTTCCTTGTCTGTCTTCATACTTTTACCATATATGTATGCATTCCTAAACTTATTTGAACTTGACACAATTGGTGTCATATTATCATGCATTCCTTTGGGTCTTCATTTTTTCAACATTGTGTTTGTGAGATTCATCCAGTGGGTGGCTGCGGTTTGTTCATTATCATTGTATAGAATCCCATTTTATGAATATGCCACAAGTTACCTGTTGTCAGTGATGCACATCTGGTTTCCAGATTCTGGAGTTTCGGGCTATTATAAACAATGTTGGTATAAACATTCTCGTTCCTGTTTCCTGCTGCACATCTACATACATGTAAATGGAATATAAACCCAGGAGTGCAATTGTTGGGTTATAGGCTGTGCATATCTTCAATAGGACTAGATGTTGCCAACTATTTTCCAAAGTGGTTGTACTAATTTGCATTGCCATAAAGAGTGTAGGAGAGTTCCTGTTGCTCTGTATTTTCACCAACACTTGCTATTACAGAATTTTAAGTTTTTGTCAATCTTGTGGTTATGTAATGGTATCTTCTTGTGATTTAAATTTGCATTCTGCTGGTTACTGACAACTTTGAGTATCTTTTGTATTTCTTCTTTTGTGAAGTGCCCATTCAGGTGTTTTGCTCATTTTTCTATTGGGTTGTCTATCTTTTTCTCATTAATTTGTAGGAGTTTTTATATATTTATTTTTGACTTCTTTGTTGTTTTTATGGGTTCCAAATACCTCCTCCTACTCTGTTTTTTTTTTCTTTTTTAAAAATTGTGCCTTGAATAGAAGTTTTTCATTTTAATGTAGTAGAATTTATCAATATTGGGTATTTATTTATTTAGTGTTTTATTTATTTTTTGTTTATTATTTACAATAATAATAAATAATAACAATATTTGTTTATTGTTAGTGCTTTTTGTGTCTTGTTCCACATAGTATTGATTTCTGTGTAGTGAAGGTAGGGACTCAATTTAATTTTTTCTCCGTGCAGATAGCCAGTTGCTATAGCAGCATTTATTGAAAAGCCTGTCTTTTCTGCACTGGTGTGCTGTGACACCTGTTATATATTAAGTGCCCATGTGTGTGTGAATGTGTTTCTTGGCTCTTCTATTCTGTACCATTTGTCTGTTAGTATATCCCTGTGTGAACAACTTGTTTTTCAGTTACCACTTCTTTGTAACATTTCTTAATATCTGGTAGATATTCCACTTTGGTTTGCTGGAAAAGTGTCTCAGCCACTCTTGGCCTTTTACATTTCTTAGAATCATACTATAAAGTTCTATATAAAAAAAAAAAGATGTCTGCAGGACTTTTTTGGTCTTGTATTCAATTTATAAACCAATATATGGAAAATAAATGCCATTAAAACATGAAATCTTCTGATCCATTTTTTTAGGTCTTTTTTATTGCCTCACAATAAAGTTTTATGATTTTTTTCTGAAAGATCTTGTACATCATTCTGAATTTTATTCCTGAAATGTGTTATACTTACAATTTTATAGTATTGTAAAACATATTTTTAATTTTTGTTTTCTAATTGTTTATATATAGGAATATGATTAACTTTTATATATTGATTTTTGTATTAAGAAATCTACTAAATTCTCTTACGTATTCTAATAGTTAATCTGTAGATTCATTCTACATACGTGATCATATTATCTGCAAAGGGGGCAGTTTTTGTTTCTTTCCAATCCTTATACCTGTTATTTGTTTTTTCTTGCCTTACTGCTTTGGAGAGGACCTCCAGTATAATGTTGAATAGAAGGGATACTGGGTATTCTGGCCTTGTTCCTAATTGAGGGATAATTTACATTTCACAAATAAGTGTGATAGTAATTTGTTTTTGTTTTGTTTTTTTTTACAGATATGTTTCATCAGATTAAGAAAGTTCCTTCCTAGTCCTAGTTTGTTAAGAGTTTTTCTTTATATTGAATGAATACTGGATTTTATCAAATGCTTTTCCTGCATCTACTGGGGTGTTCATGTGATTTTACTCTTTTACTGTGTTAATGTGATGAATTACATTAATTGATTTACTTTTTAAATTAAATTTTAAAATCAGTAATATGTTTATATGTCTCAAAAGCCTCTCTTTCACCTAGTTCCCTCAACAGCTATTGGTAACCACTTTTATTAGTTTTTTCTTTGTCCTTCACGTGTGTCTTTCTGCAGATACAGGCATGTGCATATATATGGTCTTCCATCCCTTCATGTCGTTATATTTTACAATTAAAGCAACCTTGCTTTTCTAGTATAAACCCAACTTGGTCACGATGAAGTATCCTTGTCTTTGAATTTGGTTTATTAATTTATGTAGAATTTTTTCATTTATATTTATGGGAGAAATTAGCTTGTAAATTTATTTTCTTGTACTTTCCTCATGAGATTTTGCTATCAAGGTTATCTTGGCTTTATAGTGTGAGTCAGGATGTATTGCTTCTGACGTATCTTCTCTCTTTTAATGCTCTGGAAGTATTTGTATAAGATTGGAATATTTCTTCCTAGAATGATGGATGAACTGACCATGGAAGCCATCTGGAACTGAAAAGAGAAAGAGAGTGTATTTTATTATTTTCTTTCACATAGTATTTTTTTTTTGATTTATTTATTTTTTTTTCCCCCAAAGCCCCAGTAGATAGTTGTATGTCGTAGCTGCACATCCTTCTAGTTGCTGTATGTGGGACGCAGCCTCAGCATGGCCGGAGAAGCGGTGCGTCGGTGCGTGCCCGGGATCCGAACCCAGGCCGCCAGCAGCAGAGCGCGTGCACTCAACCGCTAAGCCACGGGGCCGGCCCCACATAGTATTTTTGACTATGGATTCAATTTCTGTAATCGTTATAGTCTGTCCAGGTTGTCTGTTTTTCCTTAAGTCAATTTTGATAATTTACGTTTTCCCAAAAGTTTGTCCATTTTGTCTAAATTTTCAAATATACTAGTATAGATTTGTGAATCATATCTTATTATCTCTTTTCATACTGTAGTTCTCCTCTTTATTCCTTTAAGAATAGTGAACAAGTTGATTTATAATCTGTCTCTGGTAATTCCAGTATGTGAAGACTTTGTGGATCTCTCTCTGCTGTTGTTTTTGATGGTGTTTTTCATGTTTCTTTATTTTCTTTCGTGCTTTGTTATGTTTGCATAGCTTGTCATTGCCTTTAAAAAATTATTTCTGGGGATTTCTGAAGCCTTGGCGTGAAGCTGTATTCTTTGAAAGAGAATTTGAGTTTGCTTCTGCTAAGGCCTGACAGTACAACTTGTTTAGAACCCCCGTAAACTAAAATAATTTGGATCAAATTTCTTGGATCAAATTTTCAGGAGGTGTCTGCCCAAGTTTACAACCTCTTAAAGATTTTTCTTTCATCCCACCCTGTGCACCACCCCCAACCCCATTTTGTTCAGTTCCAAGGCAGCACTCCCCACAGGAGGGTGGAGAGTGTTTGGAGGGTGAGATATTGGCAAGTTTACTTTAGTTTGTCTTTGCTCTAGAATTTTACCCTTTGGCAGGGGTGGGAGGGTCCCTAGTCTCTATGGAAAGGGACTCCTTTCAATGTCTCATTCTGAGCATGCCATCAAATGCACAGCCCTATTTCTTGCTATCAGCAAATGTGCTCAGATCAAGAGCTACTTCTTGTACTCTGCTTTGCTTATCTTATCATTGGAACAGTGTTACTAACTAACCTACAGATCCTATTCAAATTTCACCAGTTTTTCCTCCAGTGGCTTTTGTACCAGGATCCTATGGCCGCATTACATTTTCTTGTTTTGATGACCCTTGATAGTTTTGAGGAGTGCTAGTGAGGTGTTTTGTGGAATGTCTCTCAGTTTTGATTTGTCTGATGTCCAGTGTCTGGAATTATGGGTTTTAGGGCAGTATAAATTCTCTTTTTATGC